CACATTGCTTTCCAGACTATAACAAAAATGGCCTCTAGCTCAATTCCTAAGAGTCCTTAATACCCTCTGAAATCTTACTAGGCCTTTAATGTCCACATCTCTGCCAGTATTCTGAATGGTCCATTAAGTTCTGCTTGCATGGCTTCTCTAGCCTGAAGTTGTAAATGCTGCCCCATCCCTCCTGCAAACCAGTCTTAAAGCCTACCAAACGTAGGATCAGGTTTATCACAGCAACAGTCCCACTTCTTAGGACCAATTTCTGTAATCACTGTGACTAAGGATGTTGAGGAAGAGTGTATGTTGTGCTCATGGTGGGAGGCAGAGCACGGCAATGAGAATGGCTCTAAGTGGAGGCCGGGGTATGAGGAGGGGTATGAGGCGCACCTGAGTCAGAAAGCAGAGCAGGACGAAAGCTGGTACTCAAGCTGCTTCCGTCTTTATTCAGTCCAGAACCTCAGCCTATGGGATAGGAGCACTTACACTTGGGTGTGTCTTCCCTCCTTGGTTAAACCTAAAATGTCTTTACAGACATCCCACACACTATCTCCTAGTTGACTTAAAATCCACTCAATTGACAACGAAGATTCACTATTATAAGTTCCAACAGGTAACAAACGTTTGAATTTGTTTCACTTTTCTACATCTTCTGCCCATGCTAATCTGTATCTACAGACAATGGTTCTCTACTGGGTTATGTATTAAAATCAAATGGTTAACATTTGAAGGCTAGGCACGATGACACACATCTGAAGTTCCGGCATTTGAGAGGCTGAGACAGAAAGGTCCTGAGTTCTAGCTCAGCCTGATCTGGTTGAGAGTGCAACACCAACTCAGGCTTCCTAGAAATGCTGAATCACTGCCCAACATGTAGGAGCAGATCTATGGCCAGCAGTGAACAGGAAACAGAAGCAGGGAGGCCATAAATGGAAGGCAGTCTGGGTATACAGTGAGCTCTGAGCTAGCCTGGACTATCTGAAACCCTGTCAGGACAGAGGGGAAGGGAAGGGAAAATTTTTAAAAAGTAAAGGAAGGAGAGAAGGGAGGAAGAGAGAAGAAGGAAGATAAGAAAGGGAGAGGTGGAGAGGAGAAAGGATCAAAACGTACATTTACTAAAATCTCCAAGTAGCTTATTTCTATAGTCACACTGAACTGAAGATTAGGACTACCAGGGATGCTTTACAGGACGGATGGGCAGACAGATGGACAGACAGACAGACCAACTGACCGACCAGCCATACATTTCGGGGTTCCTAGTCCTCACTACCAAAGATTCTGGCCTTAATTAGGCTTGTTTGTAACCTGGCTCATATCTGACTTCACTGAGAAAAATTTACCAAAGGCAGATAAACTACTAAATGTTCTCTACCAACACAGAAAGTAGCCTCACTAGTGGGTTTCCAGAATTAGACAAAAGTTAAGAGGCCTTCAAGAGCAGAAGTTAGCACACTTCCTCTGTAAAGGACTATACATGAGTGTTTTAATCCCATGAGATATGCATTAACTATCACAATTATTTCTCCTTGTCATAAACATAAAACTAAAAAAAAATGAGTAATGCTGTGTTCTAATTAAACTTGACCTAAAAATAAAAAATAACAGCAAGGGACTAGATTTGACCTGTGAGCCATAGTGAGCTCTAAGAGTGGCTTTCTAACTGACTGCTAGCTTCTCTGATAACACAGATCTAGAGTTGGGGCAAGGCTCTGTAGGTCCAAGAAGCTTACGGGTGATGCTGGTGATGCCGATATGCTGGGTATGGGACCACTATCTAAGATCAGGGTCTCCGACATAGATATAAACTCACAGAGGCTGTGGCAGCATGCACAAAGCTGGCAGATGTCCAGTCCAGATGGGGTCCCAGTGCTAAGAGATGGGAGTGGACATGAACTCTCATCTTTAACCAAGAAGCTAGTTCCAGCCAGTGGTAGCGGTGCACACCTTTCAATCCAGCACTTGGAAGGCAGAGGCAGGCAGATCTCTGAGTTCAAGGCCAGCCTGGTCTACAGAGCAAGCTCCAGGACAGCCAGAGCTACATACAGAAACAGGACAGGACAGGACAGGACAGGACAGGACAGGACAGGACAGGACAAAGGACAGGAGGAAAGGAGGGGAGGGGAGGGGAGGGGAAGGGAGAGGGGAGGGAGGAGAGGGAAGGAGAAGAGAGACTGATAAAGATTTCATAGACAAATGAAGACCAATTTACTACAAATATATACAAATGTCACACATTAGGTATTTAAGACTGTGACAGACACTTTCATATACAGAGGCTACCAACAACTCTTCTATGCCTACAGAAGCATGTCACTGTAGAACCAAGAGTTAGACTTTATTCTGTTATCTTGAATTTGACCTGACTGTGAATCTTGCTTTGATCAAAAGATTGCAGCAGAAGAGGAAGCAATGTGACTTTTAGACCTTGGTCTCAAGAAATAAGAGGTGCTAGACATCAGTCAACGCCAGCCAGTCTTTGTACTAGACACGTTGACTCCTCTAGCCACAGACAGACAAGCCACTCAGCCAGAACCAAGAGCAGAGACTTGCTGGCCCCTTCTACATCCTGTCCAATAGAAAACAAGCGTGTGTATGTTTCTAAGGTGCCATGTACTGGGAGTAGTGGTCAAATGCTGTAAGAAACTGTCAGTCACACACATGATATTGATGGTTTTATTTTATAAAAATCTTAAAAGCTGTAAGCCACTTGAAACAGTTTGGGTTTCCGGCTGCTGAGGTCTATTTTGACGCTGTGTTATGACTTCCTCTGCTAGCAGAGTTAAGAGAGGCATTTTTCCTTTGGCAAAGGTATATATCTTCATCTCTCTGTGTTTCCATTTTGAATTTTTTAGTCACAACTCACTATCAATGCTTGTCATTATTTCTCACGCTTTTTTCTAACAGTGACCGTGTACACAGCTGAGTCCTCAGCATCATTGCCCTGTGCTAGATAATTCTATTACAGTAAACTGATCGTTATGTCAGCTGTTACGTCTTAGCATCTTTACCTGGCCTGTGATGATGGCTAACCCAAGCAAGCATTTCTTGGTAATATTTCATTCTTATTTTTAGTTATTGAAAAAGGTACATAAGCAAACGAAACTAAATAAACATATTAAATTTTCTTAGGAAGACTATAGGTTTATAGTCTCAAAATCTTTTTTGAAAAATTCCACTTCGTAATCATACATGTAAATAATACTAGACTCACTAAAGTTAACTAATATTTTGTTTCCTTTATGAAATAATTTTTTATATTTCAATATAAGTATTTACAACATCTTAACAGAGAATTGTATGCACACACATATAAACACTATTACCAACTTCTGGACATTATGACATGAATTGCTGCATTTCATAATTCATTTCATAATGCATTTCATAAGACCTGCTAAGCAAGACTATCTGCACCACACTGAACAACTTTTTATTAATTACACCCAGAAGACAAATACAGTAGTTTGAAATTATCTCCCTCCACCTAAATCTTTTTTTCTCAAAAGGCTATTAAATAAATCAATCAAGCAGGGCGTTGGTGGCGCACGCCTTTAATCCCAGCACTCGGGAGGCAGAGGCAGGCGGATCACTGTGAGTTCGAGACCAGCCTGGTCTACCGAGCAAGTTCCAGGACAGCCTCCAAAGCCACAGGGAAACCCTGTCTCGAAAAACCAAAAAAAAAAAAAAAAAAAACAATCAATGGTAACAAATGACTCATATAATATTGCAACTCCAAGGAACTAATTTATACCAAAAAATGTATAGGTAAACAAATACATCTATAGATATGTATGCTCTTAGCTTCTGCAACATAAGATAAGAAACAACGCCCTGGGCTGGAGAGATGGCTCACTGGTTAAGATCACTGGCTGCTCTTTCAGAGGACCTGGGTTCAATTCCCAGCACCCACGTGGCAGCTTATAACTATCGTGACTCTGGTTCCAGGGAATCTGACACTTTTACACCAATGAACATAAAATTAAATAAATTAATAAATAAAGAAAAGAAACAACGTCCTTCCATGAGGCTGGATACAACACCAGAACAAGCAACCATTTACATGATTACCAAATAGGAGCTAAAGTCAAAATACCTCCTAGGACTGCAGAAATTATATTATGAAATTAGACCACTATGTCAGGATCTATTCAGGGGCTGGAGAGATGGCTCAGTGGTTAAGAGCACTGGCTCCCTCTCCAGATTTGATTCCCAGCATGCACACAGTAGTTTACAACCATCTATAGCTCCAGTTTCAGGGAGATCTGATGGCTTCTCCTGACCTCTGCGGGTATCACGCATATACATATATATAGACAAAATACTCATACACATGAAATACAAATGAAAATAGACACATCTTTTTTTTTCACTTTTTTTGGGGGGGGTTTCGAGACAGGGTTTCTCTGTATTGTTTTGGAGGCTGTCCTGGAACTCGCTCTGTAGACCAGGCTGGCCTTGAACTCACGGAGATCCACCTGCCTCTGCCTCCGAAGTGCTGGGATTAAAGGTGTGCGCCACCAACAACAGGCACCATATATCTTTTTTTAAGACAGAGAGTCGCCCATGTCAATTTTGAAACAGCTTAACTACAACTAATTTTCAGCAACAATAAGACCAAGCCAACCCACCTCCAAGATAAACTACACAGAACTCAAATTGGAAAAATAACTTGAATGGGTATTATGGGTATTATTTTATGATATTTTTTATGAGGAGTATCATTTTCTTCAGGGGTATTGCCATTGGTAAACTGTACATGCTCTAGTAAATAACCATGGCTCATATAAGAAATGCTCATTAAACTCAATGGGGAAAAGACTTATTATACTAGAACTAGAAATGAAGAAAGCGAGTTCACTTTCCTTCTTCTCCAACATGTGCACATATGGTGTTTCTATTTCCAACCCATTATAAAGCCCAAGCAAGTCATCAAATTAGTCATCCCACAAAAGACTGCCACTCAGGAGTGTCAACAGTCATGGCATCACCTACTGACTGGTACTTACTGTGTGAAAATTTATCATTTCTTGAAGACTGTCAGAAAACTTGGTCAAACTTGTCTGTAAGGAAGAAACCAAAGGAAAACCAAGTCACTTGAGAGCTACTAAAAGAAGTTACAGAAATATTACTTAGCATTTCTGACAGAAAAATCAAATTATCCTGTAAACAATAACATTTACTTCAAAGGACAATCTCAAGGGCTCACTGGATATGCTCTGCAGAGGTCATGTCTACCACAAGTCTAGATGTGGTAACATGTTAAGGCCTAGAAATATCAAAGAATTAGTACTACCCCATCCGCAACATGTATAATCCTGAAGGTTTGACAGCATCAATAGAGTGTGCCTCTGTAAGCAACTATGGAGCAAATCATTATGAAAACAAACCTGTTTCTTCATGATTTAGTTTTCATCATGAAAGAAACATCAGTAGCACTACAGGGTATAGCAAGGGATACAGGTTAGCCCAGGACCACAGGCTAGCCAGAAGCTATACAGCTCCAAGCAGACAGTTGGGTCCTGTTCTGAGCAGGCTAATATACTGCTCACCACACAATCAGCTACTGGTGGTCTGTTTCTCTCTTGACAACTAGCCTCTTTAGCTCACCTTTCTGAATGCAAATTTGAATGCTGTGAAGCAAGGTTAGGGCAGTGATGCTAAATATGCATACAACAAATAAAACTTTAATATATAACTACCGTAAAAAGCAGAATTGTGGAATATGGCTCCAAGGAATGGCAGCCCTTCTACTCTGGTTAAGTTCACTATGACCATTACTAGGTAAATTTATGCATAATCATATGACGTCCTGTTACACTCATCACTTTACCTGTAATTTTAGTGATACCAACCTCAACTACAGCATCATTACTAGAATACTGTGCCAGATCTCGAATTCCATTCATGAACTGTTTGTTTGCAAGACAGAAGGCTTTGCCAGTATCAATCATTGCAATGCAAAGCTTCACAAGCTAAAAAAGAAGAAAGACAAGGTCAAAAGGGAAATGACTGTACAAGTGCCTTAGTGGATCAAGTGTTAGCAGTTACTACATGAGCTAGCCTACTCAGTATAAACCTTATTTCATCAAAAACTAGAAAGTATTTTATGAAATTTTCCTTTGCCTTGATTCTTGTTAAATTCACAGGAATAATCATACCAAAAAGTCAACCTTTAGGACCCAGAAGCTGTGAGGCAGCAATTTACCATCTCTTTTTATCACTTCAAATTCAAATCCATAATTTAAGCCCATAAGTATTTATTAAAGCCTCCTGGAAGAGAGGCTGGGGATGGAGCTCAGTGGTAGATCACTTGCATCACACATGAAAAGCCCTGCGTGTATACACACACACACACACACACACACGCACACACACACACACACACACACACACACACACACACGCACGCACGCACGCACGCACGCACAGTATGCCCTAAAAGAAAGAAGAAAAGTGGGCAGGAGTATGATGAAAATATAGCTAAACTTTTAGCTGTCGTACACTGGAGTAAAGGTGCATAAACCAGTATTTTAAGTTGGCCATGCTGCTCAGTTATCACCTCATCAGAGCAGACGCATGAAATGATTAACCAGCCTCTACTGGAAACTAGCAGAAAAAGTTTTTCTCCAATGCCTTGTTAGGCACTGATTACAGCCTAGGGACTGAGCCTGCATCACCTTTCCGGATCCCTCCCTCCCTCCTTCCATCCGTCCCTCCCTCCCTCCCTCCCTCCCTCCCTCCCTCCCTCCCTCCCTGTGGCTTCATTGTGATTCATCTCACATGAGTGTGAGATATACATGCAATATAATAAAATACACAGACAAAGACAGTGCTGGGGTGTGGCTGAGCTATAGAGGTTTCCCATCATGCAACAGGCTCATATTCAATCCCTGGCACCAAAAACAAAGACAGGCAGTCCTACAACAGGTGACATATTAATAGCATCCAAAGCATATTGAGAAAAAAGATTTTTAAAAGTACTAATGTTTCAATAAAATACATGTATATTCTTTTGCATGCTTAGAAATTTTCCTCAAGAACTTTAAGAAACTAGGTCGGAGTACTCCTCTAGCAAAGGGATCAGATGGTGAGCAACTTTTACTGGGTACACTTCTATCTTTGGATTTTGTTCTCTGTTACTCAACAAATTAAGAATCAAAAATAATTAAATTAAAAGGAAAGGCTGATAGTATAGCATGATTAAAACAGAATTTCAGCACAATCTATTTAAGTTCAAATCCTAATGCCATCTAAGTGGGTCTAGGTGACCTTAGCCTAACAAACTTGAATGTCTACATGTGTAATGATAAAAATGGTGGTACTAACCTACGGAATGCTGACATCAAGAGACACCACACAAAAATACCTCAGCAAAGCGACCACAGGGGTGTGGTAAGTACTCAGCAGAAGGTCTGTTTCCTTGTCAGCAAGCCTCCTCACTGCCCCTCGCTTCTGCTTTGCCTTATACGACACAACGAAAAGGCAAAGAAGAGAAAGGAGAGACTAGATCGTCCCACTAGAAATGCTCAGGATGACGCTGGGGAAGGAACTGGGATGAGACGGCAGGCCTCCAGTGACACAGTGAAAGGAACTCTCCCTCACCAGTTCAGGACAGAAAGCCACCCACAACTATGCTCAGGGTTCAAAAAGAAATTCTGAAAGAAGTAAGGAGTGAGGAGAATCTATGCAGACCCCAGAATCCAAAGATGCCTCGAGCTTTAACATTTAATGATGAAGTGAGTAAGAAAACAATGTTCAGACTTCCAAGCTAGGTGACAGCTGCCAGGGACAACTTCTGAGTGAATATGTGCTCTATGATCACCACTGGGAGCAAATTGCCTGCCAGGCACATGGTAAGACATTTTCTCTAACAAAGGCAGACTGAGAAGTCTGCAAAATTCCACACAGTGGACCGGTCATTTGTTTGTGAAGTATATAAAAGGTTTCACACCCAGGCCACCTAAAAGAACACCAAAAAGTCTATACAGGAACTAAGCCTTATATCTGGAGGTGTATAGGAAGTCACTCATCTGTGCCACTGGCTTAAAGAAACCCAAAAGGATTCACATAATGAAAGACCGATTGCATGCTAAATGTGTGACAAAGCCATCAAACACGAGTCTCACCTCAAAGACCACGACAGGAAACACCGGGGTAAAACCTTTTGTGTGTGGCTGCTGCACCAAGGCATTTGCCAAGAGGCATGAGAAGAATATGCACAGTAAAAGGAACAGTCACCAATGGTGCCGTCCAGAGGGAGCTGAACAGTGCAAGAAGTAGCAATGGCCCTCCAAACAGAGCAGTAGCTGGAGACGATCACCTGTGGCTGTGACAGGTCAGGAACACTTGTCCAGGAAGCAGGACACTGGGGTTTTAGTGGTAGCATTAATATTGGACCCCGAAAGGTTCTGAAACTGGTGAGAACTTAAGAACAGAAGTTTTAAGTTTTAAGGATACCTAACCTGAGCACTGCCCTAGGTCCAGCCAGCACAGCACTCTGTAAGTTGTCACAAAAGTAGTTGCAGGTATTCTGCTAACTGGATGTCCAAGTCTGTCTCCTTTGCCTTCCCGTTGCCGAGAATGAGCTCTGTGTTGCTCCGCATCCTTGCCAGCATCTGATGCTCCAGTGTTCTGCCTTTGATCATTCGCATAAATGTGTTGGAGCATCTCCTTGGGGTTTCTTAAGGTCTCACCAGTTTCAGAACCTTTCGGGGTCCAATATTAATGCTATCAGTAAGCACCCGTGTGCTTCTTTCTCGTGTATTTTATTTGAAAGCTCCTGTGTCCAGCTTGCAGCAAGCAACCTCTGTCCCAGTCTTAATTCCTCGATGCTTGCCAGACTTGTGGATGCTTGGCACAGAGCAGCTGAACAAAGTGGCTTCCCGGTCTTCTCAACGTATGTGACTTACAGTCAGAACAGCATTTTAGTAACTGATAAAAGCACTTCATTCAGAAGCAGAAAATGTTGGTGGGTGACGACCAAGAACACTGCACACAGATGGAGGTCTTATATTTGGTCTTTCTGTATCGTTTTTATATCACAGGTTTTCAGTGCTTCTGAGAATAAATGAAGGCTTGGCTGGAATGGCTCTTCACCACTATGATCAGCCCTAAATCCACCTCATAGGCTGCAGGTCACTTGTACGGTAGAAGTGAAGGAACAAGGATGCTGGTGGGTTAGGGACGAGGCCTGAGAGTCTTCTCTTGGGCAGTGTTGCCACTCACCACCAGCGTGAGGGAGAAGACAGGGCTCTCGGGCTCAGATACAAGGGTCTCACAGGTGTAAAAGTCCAAAGATTTTCTATGTCAAAAATCTTACTGACTCCAAAATTAGTTTGTATTTAAGATAAAAATTAGGAAAGAAACAGAAATGTGTGGGCAGACATGCCTATAGTTTACAGACCAGACCCGCAAACAAGTTTGGGGGATGTCCCTCATACAAAGAAGATGCAATGTGTGTACTTAAATCATCAAAAACCCTGTAAGTGTATAACAACAGTGTTGGTCTTAATGATTCCAGGGAAAAGACAACAGAGCTTTTTTTGGGGGGGAGGGGGACACTGAACTAAATACCTTTCAATGCAAGCATCAGACTTTTAACCAATATTTTTTGTGGTACTTTTTTTTTAATTTTTATTTTTAAATTTAAATTTAAATTAGAAACAAGGTTGCTTCACATGTCAATCCCAGGTCCCTCTCACTTCTTTTAACCAACATTAAAGGCTGTTGGACCAAATGTTTACATGACATGTTTATTTCACCACTGTTTACAGTTTTAAATAGGTGATTGCCTTTTTGTAATCAATTATAAACTTTGTTTCAGATGTGGTTTTACCAATTGTTCTTTTAACCCCTTTCTTAGGAATACATTGAAATGTCAACAAGTGTTTGGATTATATCCTGTAAGCAGTAGTAAACTTTGTAGGTACTAGTGAGTTATTTTAGAATTTACATACTTGTAGAAAATACCAACTTCAACATTCTAGTTTGGTTCTTAAGAGTTCTTTTTTTAAAATATATATTAATTTCATTTTATTAAAAGAATCTTCCAAAGCCACAGAGAACCCCTGTCTCAAAAAACCAAAAAAAAAAAAAAAAAAAAAAAAAAAAGAATCTAAGCCAGCTGGGCGATTTTGGTGCATACCTTTAATCCCAGCATTTGGGAGGCAGAGACAAACAGATCTCTGTGAGTTCCAGCTACACAAAGAAACCCTGTCTTCAAAAATAAAACGAAACAAAAAGAACCTATCTAAGCCATCACAAATAAGCAGGATAGAAGACCAGAGGCGCAAGGGGCCTAAGACAGAGTGATACTGAGGCTGAGAACCAGAGAGATGGAGACATCCGTGGGATATCAGCACTCTAGAGCACAGGGACTACAGCCGGGAGGTGAGACAGAGACTATAGCCACAGACACGTGTGATAGAATTAGCACAAAGTCCCCATCACAGGACAATGGACGCTGACAGGCAGAGTCACACTGTAGCTGCCCAAGAGGAAGGGCTGGCTTGGTGATGTAGAAAGAGCAGAGATTTTTGCCTATTAAATGGCAGTGATGGATAAAAATATAAGTAAGTAATGAAAAAGAGAGTTTTTAACCTAAGTATAAATATCAACTTGGTCTCAAATGTCAGGCTGGTAGCCTAACCTCATTCAACTTTTTCAGTAAAAGACATTGTGTCGTAGGCCTTTGCCCATTGATAGGAGCACAAACAACTCATCGCCTAGTAAGTAATATCTCTCTCTCTCTGTCTCTCTCTCTCTCTCTGTCTCTGTGTCTCTCCCTGTCTCTCTGTCTCTCTATCTCACTCTCTTCCCCCCTCCTTCCCACCCCCCTTCCCTCCCTCCCTCCCCCCTCCCTCCTCCCCTGTTTAGCTGAAAATAAACCCATCTTTGCAACACTGTAGTGAAGCTTAGAAATAAGTAAACACAGGGCTTTGTGCCCAGTAAGTGCAAGGCCAGCAGAGTTTCTTTTGTTCCTTTGCTGTTTAAGACTGTCTACATCTCCCAGGAGCTGTCTGTTGTTATTCTTGTTTATTTAGAATTTACCATGTTGGGGTTGAAGGGATGGCTTCAGCAGTTAAGAACACTGGCTGCTCTTCCAGAGAGCCTGAGTTCAATTCCCAGCACCCACATGGCAGCTCACAGCCATCTGTAACTCCAGATCCAGGGGCTACAACAACCTCTTCTTGCCTCCACGGGCACTAGGCACACAAACGATGCACAAACAAACATGCTGTTAAAACATCCATATACGTAAGAAAGAAAATAAAAATGAAGAGCATTCACCAGGCATGTCCAAGAGCCATGCTAAGCACTTGACCTATGGTGAAACAGCTAATGCCATTCTTATAACACCTCTGTGACAGAGACAGATACTCTTACTTTCCCTGGTTTGAAAAATAAAAAGCCGAGGCCCAGAAATGCTGGGGAGCTTGCCCAAAACTACGTAACTTACAGTTACATGATAAAGCCTTGTGCAAAACCAGGCAGCTCCAGGCTCTGTGCTCTCAAGCTCAAGGCTCTGCCACAAAATAAAAATTATAATATTGTAGTATTTTAAGTGAAAGGGCATTCAAGAAATGATGCAATAACTATAAAAAAGCCCATTTGGTAGAAATCGAGTTGAGATTTAAAGGGATCTACATTACAGACAGGTGCCAAGCACACCAAAGAAAAGATGCAGTGGACATAGAGATCAGATCTAGATGGCACCTGTGAGACACTGTGATGTTGCAAACACCACAACACCTTGCAGAATGGATAATTGGGCCCATGAGCACCACCACTCTGGAAGCACTATTCACAAGACAGAATTCGATTACTGGCAGCATATAATATATGCAAATAAACTATAATAAATACTAAACATAATATATGCTAAGTAAACATTAACTAAGTCATCAAGCAAGTTTAGTTTGTCACTGGTATGATTTATAATGACACCATAAGCAGAACTTATCCTGCACAATGTTCTGAAACCTGTGAGCTGAAGGCACCGCCCCCATAAACTCTTCATGTTACTACCTTCCATAACCACCATTCCCTGTGTGCCTCACAACCTGCTCTAATACCACAGCCCAAGAAGACACTAGCTTAAGAGTTAGGACAGGCACACTGTTAAGTGTTCATACACTCTGAGTCCCCTTTGGTTAAGAAAGACTCTAGAATTCCTGTATTTTGATAACTTAAGATTCGAAGGTTCTTCAGCTTAAGATTGGCTGAAACAGGATCTGTGCCACCCCACCAAAAGTCCCCAAGTAATGCCTATGTGCCATAAGGTCTGAAAAGACTACTCTATACACCAACAGCATTTAACTGTACAACAGGAAATCACTGTCAGGAGAGGTATTTAATCTATGCATATGCCTGTCTCCAGGAATTGAACAGCAGTTATGAAGGAAAGTCTGAACAGATGGGTCAAAAGCTTCTGCCTGGTACACAGCCGAGAATGCTTCAAGGACACATATCTGAAAACCATTGTCAGTAACAACAGACAAGAGGAATCAGCATATGTTTACCCTTACGTAATAGATAATTGCATAACTATTAAGTATTCTAAGCATTTCTGGAATTGGCTTAAAAATGGAATGGACACTTTAAATTGCATTTGCATATGAACCTGACTGAGCACACCTAAATTTACAAGGATCACCAGATTATATATAAAATCCATTAAGTATCAAAAACGGTGAGTGAGATCTTTTGATGGAGAGGAGGCTACTGCACACCTCCAGCCAGGATGACAGAACCTACTCACACAGGTACCGCAGGTGACATGAACCAACTCCTACTGAGCACGCTAATTGTTCCTTATGGTTAAGAATTGGTGGTTTTCAAAGTTTACCTTATCAAGTTTTAGTTCCAGCTCTGCCACATCGCCCTCTACTTCTTCCAAAGCAGCCCTAGGAAAATCGAATATGAAGTAAGTTAGTGCATTTCTTTAAAGGCAAACTTCACTCTTGGAACATAATCTCTCACACTAAGTGAAGACACGGGCATGGATAGTTAAAAATTATCCTTTATGTAAATGTAATGATCATGCAATGCCACAAATAATAGTTTAAGCCGCTAAGAGAATACATCAGGCTGACTTATTTAACATTTATTTCAATGACTTGTAGTTATGGGTGTCTGCATGTAGTTATATGCACAAATACACAAGGGTCCACAGAGGCCAGAGGTGTCAGATCCCCTGAAGCTGGAGCTGAGACATTTGAGGTTTCTGATGCCTGTGGGGAACTGAACCTGGATCCTCCAGAAGATGAGCAAGTGGTCCCGATGCCAATCCATTTTGCCATCCCCAGGATAACTTTTTTTTGTTTGTTTGTTTGTTTTACGAGACAGGGTTTCTCTGTATTGTTTTGGAGGCTGTTGGTCCAGCCTGGCCTCAAACTCACAGAGATCTGCCTGCCTCTGCCTCCCGAGTGCTGGGATTAAAGGCGTGTGCCACCACCGCCCGGCTCAGGATAACTTATTTTTAATCACGAGACAATTCAAATTAATAACAGTATTCCGAACTGTTTTGTGTGGTTTTTAAAATGAATTAAGAGTATGTAAGCAAGATACCATAAAATATAGAAAGGATACTAATCAAATAAAATCATTCAAAAACCTACTTTCAAAAAAAAAAGAGTAAAACATTTAATAGCTGAGCCTTAACTGACTCTGATTTGTAGACAGCAAAGTATATGAAACCAAAGAGTAAGACACTAACAAAGGGGCTTTTACTATGAAAAATAACTCATAAAGATAATTTTCCTCCTGTCAATATAATTTTAATATGAAAAAAAATCAGCAAAGACTAGGTCATACAAAAAGAAGTAACAGTAAGCCAGATGTTCTTAACCACAAAGAGAAATCAACTGAGGTTACCACAAGGCCACACTCCAAAAATGGAAATGTTTAAAACAAAAATTACAATTAAAACATTGTAAGGGTAAGATTTTACACTAAAATGGTATGTAATAAGACATAAGTTACATATGCTGTGTGTGCTGGCAACAGAATCCAAACCCTCAGGCATGCCAAGCAGACATTCTACCACAGAGCTCCGACCATAGTCCCCATGCCATTTCATACACCTACTTAATGTCCTAGCCCTTTTCCAATAGTTATTTTAAGAACTAACAAAAATTTTGTTTTAATTGGATAGTAATAGGAGACTACCTTCCTCTTCTCAAGCAATGGACTAAACAAAAGACGGCCAGGATATAAATTCTATTTCCTTTTCCATAAATACCTTGGATGACCTTTGAATACTTTATCAGCTGCATCTAAGGACACACATTTTCAAAGCTTTTAGAGCTCCAAAGTTTAAAAGAACTGTAAGTTATTCAGTAAGCATGTGCCATTATGAATGAGATCTTCTTGCATATGCTTCTAGAACACAGGAGCAAACACAGTACAGAAGCTAGAATACTTCTTCCTGGCCGACAGCTGGTCACTGCCTTCAAACTACACAGTGTTCCCTCAGCCTCAAAAATATAATCCTCGCCTATATATACATTATTTCAACTCACTTCACACCTGAGAGCAAACAAATATATCTCTGTAAGGATACTGTAACTGAAAACCATGTCCAATAATCAGAAAAATCTAGACAAATGATGGTGTCATGTCTTTAGGTAAGGGAACAATTTCCTGGATGAGACTGCAATGCATGCTGGGAATCCCAGCACTCAGGAACCTGAGGTGGGAAGATGGATAGCTTGAGTCTGAGGTGGGAGTTCTAAGACAGCGTGGGCAACACCCTCATCTCAAAATAAACAAATGAAGTTCATCTTACTGACAGGGAAATAAGTGCATGAAGTTAAATTATTACACAATTAGGATAATATACCCCCCCAAAACTATTGAGACACATGGGAAATTATCTGTGAGCAGATTTGCCAGTCTGTATAATGCCGAAGAACCCGGACTGGACAGCAGGCATGGTAAGGAAGGATTTGCATTCTAAGTACACCCCTGGGTTAGTTCAGCATTTCAACAATGGTAGTACATTTTATTCAGACAGCGCCTCAAAAATGGCTCCCTTTGAGACTTGTCCCACCACTCACTCAGGCTGAAGCCCTGAAGCACGTGGTGCAAGTCTCTGCACTACCCACTGACAGTCCGAGCTGCCCCCAGCAGTGCAGACACTCAGATCTGCCGAGTCCAGGAAGGAGCAAGCACAGTAGCTCTGGTTCTCAGGACTTCCTTTCCATTTTATCCTTTACCTTAACTCAATTTCCCAGTTATTTGTTAAGATGAGCCACGTTAGATTTGATTAAATCACTGGTCTCTACTAAACATATCCAGACTTCTTTCACTATACAATCCTACACATTTATCTATAAAATGCAGAAGTGTTAAGGCTGGTGCTGGTAGAGTGTTCTGAGTCCCAGCCACTGGGGTGAAGCAGGAAAATAGAGCCCAGGAATCCATATCAGCTGGGTAATAGAGCAAGATCATTAAAATAACATATAAATAAGTGTGTGAGGGGGAGGGAGGGGGCCAGGGCTACCAGGACCACTCAGTAAGAGACTGTCCCTGTCACCAGCCACAGTGTAACAGTTTCTCCTCTTCACCGCACCCTGAGCTCTCAGCTGAGTTCTGGTTCCCCTTTCTTCTGGTAATGTAAAAGAACCATTCTGAATCGTGTACTTGATAAAATAATAAGCAAACCTATATGCCTCACTTATCATTCCTCTGTTGCTCTCCCAGATACCACATTAAAAATTTCTTCCACAACTTAAAATGTAATGTAAAAACAAAACAAAACAGGGACTGTGGGGATGGTTCACTGCTCAAGCAGTTCTTGGTAAGCGTAAACACCTGACTTTGCTCCCAGGAGTGATGGCGCACACTCGTAACCCCAGCATGGGTGGGTGAAGACAGGTGTCCGAATTCTCTGGCCAGCCAGAGAGAAAGTCTATCTCCAAGGAGGTGTACAGCTTTCCTGAGGGTGACACTCAACACTGTCCTCCAGCCTACACACACACACACACACACACACACACACACACACACACACACACACACACACATTTTTTAAAACAACCAGACTTGACCTGTAGCTCAAAGGTAAAGTGTTGCTTGCTAGGAAGTGTAAGTAGGTACCCTGGGCTCCATCCCAAACACAGATGGCTAAACAAAAAAGCAAACACGGCTTTTTATAACAGGGCTGTCCACCTCTCTCTCCGTTCTCTCCCTCTCTCACACACCCTCTTGTTTTATTATTAGGTTGCAATGTTGCTAGGTTTGGGGATTATGGGGTAGGTATTAAACTAAGGGCTTGTGCATGCCACATTTGTCATTTCACCACTGAGCTACATTCTTGGCCTCTGTAGCTGTAAACAAGAAAACAGGAGAAAGACAACAGCTTTTGTATTTTTATTATGTTTATTACTGTGTTGTGCACATAAAGTTGGCTATGGTGACATACCTGTAATCCCAGCACTCAGAAGTAAGACAAAGGGTCTCAAATTCAAGGCCAGCCTGGCTACCTGCTTCTTCTTTTTTTTTCTTTTTTTCCTTTTTAGACAAAGCAACAACACCCTTCATTTCAACTTTGGCAATATCCTTTCAATGGATTAGTCAAACTAGGTCACACATTATGCAATGAAAAGTGCAGGAACAAGATATTCAAGATCACTAATAAGCACACAAATGTCCTCCAGCAATTAAAGGCGGACTGGCGACTCCAAGTCTTGACTACCTGCTTGACTACCTGCCGAGGAGTTATCAAACATAAAGTAATGATAAATACTCAAAACACTGCACAGGGCTGGGATGCAGCTCATTAATAAAGTACTTCACTATCATGAGCAAGGCCCTGGATGTGATCCCACTACACACACACACACACACACACACACACACACACACACACACACACACACACACACAGAGTTGCACATGTGCTAAATTTGAAACTAACAGTTGTAGTTCCTGTTTTATAGAATAGTTCTATTCCAATAAATTACACATTACACATGTACAGAATAAGTGTTTTTTATACTCTAAAGAACTGCTATGTGTCATGGTTAAATATCATCCCCAGCCAACTTCCTCTTTGAGCTCAACAGCCTTTTCCAGCTTGAGCAACACTGGACTACTCTTTGCAATGAAAGAACAATGGCCAGGTCAAGGACAGCTCACTAATCTAATGGGAGCCCTGTGGCTAACGGCAAAAGAGAGTGACATGAAGTCCCACAGCAAGACGCAGCCCACGACAGTGAGCATAAACCCTGGAAAGCCATTTCTCACTAAATCATTCATGTCACAAATGGCCACCTATCTAGTAAAGTCCAGATCCATCCTATTGGATCTCGGTGAAGTCCTGAGAGGCCAGGTAATAGTTTTTATAAACTCAGACTTTGTCTCCTACCATCTATATGAGCAAATTATTTATGCTTCCATTCCATCTATAAAATAGACAACAAAGTCTACCATAGAAAATGTGACTGATTTCTGAAAACTTCAGCCTCAGACACTCAGCAACTCGTGATGACACCTACACAACAGTGCTGAGTACACCAAGGTCTCCCAACCTCTTCCCAATTTCAGCCTCAGGCTGAGAGCTATGACATGACGGCACGGCCTTCAGACCCACAGAGCCTAGAGCCCAGGACTACGACATGACCACACAGCATTCAGACTCTCAGAGCCCAGGACTACGACATGACCACACAGCATTCAGACTCTCAGAGCCCAGGACTACGACATGACCACACAGCATTCAGACTCTCAGAGCCCAGGACTACATGATGGCATGGCATTCAGACCTGCAAAGCCTGTGTAAACACAGGAAAACCCATACTGAAATCATAGCAAAAGCAAGCCCAGGTTCTACACATGAAGTTGATTCCCGGGATCTACAAAACAATAGAACTTGCTTTAAATTTTTTAAGTCCCAATAAAT